CGAACCGTTTGAAGGATTTTCCGCGCTCCTCTTCTTGCCCGTCCTCCCCAATCTCGGTTCCGTCTCCTCTCCTCTACTTCCTCCTCCTTCTGGGTCCTCCCTTGAAGCCGCTGTCCATCCCATCTCGCTCTTCTCTCCTATCTCCTGCGTCCTTCCTGCTCTCGTGTTCCCGTGGAGCCATTGTTGGGCCATCCTGAGGCATCAGAGGCACAGTGGAAGAGAAGAGGTGAGGTCTTCAGAAATCCACAGTTTCCTGCCAGCGTTGGAAGGATTTGGGCTCCCTGGGCGCCTCTAACAGGCCTCTTGGAAGCCTCTTGTAGGCCTCTTGGGGCCGTCTGGGGGCCATCTTGAGATGTCTGGGCGGCCTCGAGAGCCGTCTTGAAGCCGTACTGGGCCGTCTCGGGGCCATCTTGAAGAGTTCCGGGGGCCCTAGTGGACCGTATCGAGGCTATCGCCTCTGGAGCGCCCTCGGGCTTTCAGAAGCCGTCTGGGGGGCACTCTGGGAAGTCTCTGGGGCCGTCGTGGGGGACTCTGGGGCGCTCAGAGGGCCGTCTTGTGGCCTTGTGGGGCTCCTCTTGGGGCAGGCTTGGGCCCTTTGACAGCCATCCAGAAGCCTCATAAGCCTATCGGAAGCGGAAAAACGAGATCTTCAAAAACGCATGATTTTTTCTTACAGAGTCATCGGAGGCAGGAGGAGGGATGATATTGAGGAGGAGGAGGAGGAGGAGGAGGAGGAGGAGGAGGAGGAGGAGGAGGGGAGGAGGAGGAGGAGGGGGGGGGGGGGAGGGGGAGGGGGAGGGGAGGAGGAGGAGGAGGAGGAGGAGGAGGAGGAGGAGGAGGAGGAGGAGGAGGAGGAGGAGCAGGAGGAGGAGGAGGAAGAGACGCAAGGCCATCGGGGGCCCGAACCGGGGCTCCCCCTCCCCTGCCGGAGGGCCGCCGCGCGGGGGGGCCCCAGGCGCGTGCGTTCGCCGGATCTGCCGGCCGCGCCGCGATGGAGCCTCGTCGTGTGGCACGGCCTTGGCATGACGCTCATTGGGCGAGCAACGACATATGTACATGTACGCCCTCCGCGGTCTTGCCTGCACGAACGTCCGCGTTGACACGCACTCCAGGGGAAACTAACCGCGTACGTGTACATATGTTGCTGGCCTCTGACTCATGGTGCCTCGATAGGCACGCAGAGCGTGGAGCCAGTGCAGCAGCAACAGCAGACTATAACCCCTGGGCTCCACAGGCCCGCCCTCGCGCGGAAAGGGCGCCGGGTGGCGGCGCAGCGGGCAGCGAGCCATCGCTTGCAGTCTCAGCGTCAACTCATTTCCGAGCTGCAGGGCCACTTGCGAGCGTGGCATCTGTGGTGGCAACCAGCCCATCACGAGCCTCTTTGGGGGACCTCGCCGGACGCCAGACGCCATCAGCTACAGCGCCGAAGCGAGGGACCCCCGCGGGAAAGGAGGGGCGTCGCCCCAGGCGGCTGGCGGAAGCGAGGGCAGTGGCAGCAGCGGTCAAGAATCAAGAAACAATGCCATGGCTCAAACAACATTTTGGCCCAAACGCAACATCTTGGCTCAACAGCTTTGCCCCAGCAGGTTTCCAGAAGGCGACGACGCAAGCCACTCTGAGGACAGAGCTCAGACGCCATCGCAGACACATCATTGCGAGAAGCGTGCGGCGAGGTCGATGCCCGTAACCACTAACCTAGGCCTGGACCCAGCCATGTGCGAGTCGAAGGAAGGCGAAGATGGAGCCCGATGCGATCATCTACGGTTCAGGGATCAGGACAAGCTGGAGGCGACCGCGGGAACTGGCGTTAGGAAAGGAGCACAGTCGTCATCAGCTGCAGGCGCGGCCGCCCGTGCGCGAGACGTGACGCCAACACCAGCGCCAGTGAAGCTGGAGGGCGATGACACACGCCATCGAGAGGACAGAGCCCAGACGCCATCGCAGACACTGCATTGCGAGAAGCAGGCGGCGTGGTTGGAGCCCCTCACTACTAACCTAGCCGAGGACCCAGACAACGCGCGCGAGACGAAGGAAAGCGAAGATGGAGCCCGATGTGATCATCTACGATCCAGGGGTCAGGGCAAAGGCGAAGCGAGGGGGACGGCAGCTGCAGCGACAGCGGGCAAGAGCGGCAGCATCACTACGCCATCAGTTCAGGCGCTGTGCGAGAGCATGCCATACCAATACACATCGAGGGCTATGATGACAACTTCCCGTGGGAGCACTATATCAGCGGCGAAGACAGGCGGTTCATAAACTTCGTGCAGGAAATAAAGGGGTGACCCTGCAGCTGATCAGTTACCCGCGCGGAGGCTGCGAGCTGGTCGTCACAGCGACGGATGGCACAAGCAACGCCGAATTCGAAAGGGCCCTAGAGATGTGCCACGACCTCGTCGACCGCACCTACCAGGAGGCCGCAGGTTGGGACGGCACCGTTCGGGACGACGGGTGCAAGAGCGACCTTGAGGACAGCGGCCCAGCGAGCCAAAACGACACAGAGAGCCACACCACGGACAGCGAGTGCGACGGCGAGACCACGTACACGGAGCACGACGACACCCCTGCAGGGCGAGGGGGTAGGCACTACGGCGACACCCCTGCAAGGCGAGGGGGTAGGCCCTACCGTGGAGGCCGCGGCCACCCCGGCAGGGCGAGGGGGTAGGCCCAAGGTCGTCGCGATCGCTTTCGGCACCTTCGGCTTCCTCATCGCCATCGCCCCTCATCGCCATCGCCCCCCTCAGGGGTGAGCGTGCCGCCCTCCCACAGGGGGAGGGGTATGGCGGCCCCCGAGGGGGGGCCAAGTTCGGGAATGGCAAGTTCGGCGATCACCTGGACTACGTCGTCTGAGCGGAGGGGGAGGTGGAACCCCCCCGCGAGCGGCTACGTCCGTGGACGGGCACAAAGCCGATACGTCCGAGGAGGAGGCGCTAGAAGTGGAGCGAGCTGAGTGATCTCCGCCCCCCCCCCCAGGTCCAGATCTTCTCCGCCAGACAGGTCCAAAGCTCCTCCGCGTCAGATGGCGAACCCCTCCGGCTTCCCATCAAGGAGGGCGGCGAGGGGCAGGGTGGGCTGGGCGGAAGCCTCGGACTCTGGGCCGGTGGCGGAGGAGGCGGCCGAGAGCGCAAGCTTCTCGCGGCTGTCCTGGGGCCCGTCGGTTCTGTTGCTTGACCGACTCAGCGGAGCTCCGGTGTTGCTCGAGGCCGGCCTGCCGCTCGTGGTGTTTTGAAGGGTCCCTGGGACACACAAATGAGTACACACAAATAGAAGTATCCCCCATAGTTTCCCACGTTTCCAAGGTTTTTGTCTTCCCCCCCACTTCCCATATTTTCCTATATTTTCCTGGCAGTGGACGATGGATCGTGTCTGTGCTTTTTCTCCTCCTGATATTTGCACGTCGTTCTGTGCAGCCTGCTCTCCTGGTCGTCAGGGTCCCCCTCTCCCTGCCGCAGCCAGCCGACTCTCGAGGACAGCGGCGGCGCCGGGGTCTTTGCGGAGCTGCTCGACGCGAGGATGGCACGCCTGCGCGAGATCGCTCTGACCACACTCCCCCGCAGTACAGTCGCAAGAACTTCCGGCTCTTCGAAGCTGAGGCTGGACACGTTCGCTGCGGGGTGCTCCCGTGGGGGTCCCGTGGCCCACTGGAGCCCTGGGGGGAAGCTCACGGTAACATCCGTCGGCGGGTCCGGCGGGCTTCGAGTCCCCGCGATGTCTGCACCAACAGTAAGCTAAAGGGGCTCTTTGCGCACCCGTCCCCCCTGGGCGCTTCCGCATTGGGCCCCTCGGAGGCTTCCTCACCCACGGTGGCCGGACCCAGTTCCAACCCTCTGCAGCGTCGCCGCGAGCGGCAGAGAGAGGCGCCATGCTACTGGTGACGAACCACCAGCACACACCCGTACCCACAGGGGGATCGGAGAAGGTTATGGGTGCGTGTTGTCGGATGGGGGCCCCCGCTCGAGCGGGAGCGTCCCCCAGGGTCCGACCACCCGCACCCATACCCATAGCCAGTCCTCATCCCAACGACCTCCCTATGGGTATGGGTGTGTGTTTGAAGGGGAACTGGGACACACAAATAAATACACACAAATAAAAATATTCCCCATATTTTCACATATTTCCTGGGTTTTTGTCTTCCCCCCCACTTCCCATATTTTCCTATATTTTCTGGGAATCGCCGATTAATTGTGTCTGTGTGTTTTTTCCCCTCCTGAGTGTTGTTCGTTCGTCAACTGGCGGGGTGCGGCCAGAGCTGGGCGTGCCAAAGAACGAGCGGGCTGCGCACCCCTTTCGGGCGCGAGCGGCAGCATCCCCTGGGCCGGACCAGCTGCTGGAAGAGGCTGCGAGAGTTGGCCGTGGAGCAGCGGTGTCCACTCGGTCCGCTGCGAGCCTCGAGACCTCGAGCCCAAATGGCTACGGACCGTAGGCGTAGGATGTGGAGAAACCGACGACGGGGAAGGACGGGGAAGGTTTGGCTTGGACTCGTGTGCGGAACGAGCCCCCCCCCCAATTACCCCGATCCGTAGTAATCTGGAGTAGGGAGAAACGGGAAGAAGATGAGGACGCGGAGCATGGACTGAAGAACCCTCCCTCCTCTCATTCATCCGTCTTTCCTCCGCTCTCTTATTTCACTCCCCCAACCCCCTTTTCCATGCCTCGTTCGCTACCGCTTTCTTCCTTCCTTTCCCTCTGTTACCCTCCAGCCAGTCTCCCCGGGGAATCACACAGGGTCCAGGCTCCCTCCCCCCCCCCCTTGCCTCCTTCTCAATCCTTCTCCGTCCTCCGTCTTCGCCTTTTTTGCGAATCCCCTCTCCATCTTCCTCCTTTCAGTCCCCCCTTCTCTCTGCGAACGCTCTTTTACCCTCCCTCCTCTGCGGGACCCTGCCCAACGGCATGCAATGCGCCAGCGGAGGGACGCTCCTCCACGTCCGAGAGGATCACGCGGAAGAACTCCTTGCGTTCGTAGCGGCCCGAGCCCTTGATGATGCACGGGATGGTCTGTTGGATCATGCCGCTTTCGAACACGAGCGTCCCCTCCATCGCCACGTAGTCGATCCCCGCCTGCGCGGACGCATCCTGTAGGAGCGGCAGAAGCAACGGCAGGAGGAGGAGGAAGAGGAGGAAGAGGAGGAGGAGGAGGAGGAGGGGGAGGAGGAGGAGGAGGAGGAGGAGGGAGGAGGCGGAGAGGAGGATGAAAAGGAGGAGGAGGAGGAGGCGGGAGAGGGAAGAGCTGGGCTGGCCAGGCCTGTGCGGATCTTGTGCTCCGCGGGCCAAACCAGCACACCCAACACTCTTGAACGTCTAATCCGTGCGTCTATCGTTTCCGCAATGACCAGACAGTTCTAGAACAAAGATCCAACATGACTCATTCGATCACGCGTGTAGTGTACAGTGCTGCCCAAACAATGGGGCTCAGTGCGTGATGATCAAACACCCGCTGCGAATTGCCACTGGGGCCCTGGCCTTCTTTGCCGTGCGTGCTCGGGCTGTGGTGAATGGCCCGCACGGTCCCGATCAGAAGGTCCCGGCTTCAGCTGCGCATGCGCGTTGCGGTCCCGATGGTTGCCCATTGGTCCCGCGCCAAGGGTCCTGGCTATATTTGTGCAGGCGCACTGTGGTTGCTGTCGTTTTCCATGGAGTCACGCACCCAAGGTCCCAGCCTTGGGCACACCTGTGCGCTGGGCTTGCAATACTTTCCCGCCGGGCCCCGCCGTTGGGGTCCTGGCTTCATCTGCCCGGACAGGTCTGCGCCATCGCATGACTTTCCTGCGCAGCCCTCGAAGAAAGCTGGGGTCAAGGGATGGGGTGCGCACTAGTTTCGCATGTCCTCAAACGGGAGGAGGAGGAGGAAGAGGAGGAGGAGGAGGAGGAGGAGGGCGGAGGAGGAGGAGGAGGAGGAGGAGGAGGAGGAGGAGGAGGAGGAGGAGGACGAGGAGGAGGAGGGGGAGGAGGAGGAGCCCACCTGTCAAACACGCCCCATGGACGTCCCAAGCCTCTGGCCTCCCGCTCGTAACCCCGCCCAGCAGAAGCCAATCAACAGCGTACTCTCAGACACCGCGAAATCACAACACCACGACACCGCGACGACACCACGACACCACAGAACCAGTCCCCCCCCGCAGAAACAGTTAATAGGACTACTTCTTACCCCCCGTTCACCTAACGGCCTAGGCAACTCGCCCAGAACTCCGCACCCACGTCACGTCCGACGCGAACGGGATTCACTATGTCCCGGTGGGGGCGACAAGGAACCTGTCAACCCCCCAAACACCAATGTATGAAGACATGCACGAGTCAACGCCTCCGACTGCTGTTGATGATCACCCTATTCCTCTTCCTGTGCATCCTCCTCTAAAATCTCTCGGGGAATCTCGCGTCCTATCGCGTGACTTTTTCGGGGCCAAGAAGGGCCCAAGACGAGCCAGGCGGGCCCTGAGAGGCCCCAGCGGCGGCCCGAGAGGGCCCCGAATCGCCGAAAGGTCGGCCCAAGACGCCCACAAGACGGCCTCAAGACTACCCAAGGAGGCCTCCAAGACGCCCCGACTGGCCTCCAAGAGGCCTCCCAAGAGGGCCCCAGGAGGCAGCAGCACCGCGCCGCGACGAGAGGTCGCCGAAGGTTTGGCGCGCTGGCGCAGCGTGGGTCGGAGGTGCCCCGCTCGGCGCGCGGAGCCTGGCGCCATGCGACTGGGCGTGGCTTAATTGGGGGGGTCACAAATGGGGGCGGTCAGAACAGGTCCCCTTTCGTGCCCCTTTCGGGCCCCTCCAGAGCCCCAGGGGGCTCGTTTGGGTACCGTTTGGGTACCTTTTCGGGCCACGCTCGCCACCCCCCAATTCATGACCCCCCCATTACGCGGCGCCCAATGTGACGGGAGTGGAGCCGCGCCGGCGGGGGGCGGGCAACCTGGGGCGTATACCGGGCTGGGCGAAAGGGGGGGATAGCAAAGGGGGGGGTTGAGAATCAGCTCGCGTAATCCAGAAGCCCTTATAGTGAGGACGAGAGATCGTTTCAAAGCAGTCCCCAGACGACATAGATTTTATTAACAGCTATTTTGGAAGACTCCTCCCGCAGAAGGCCATGCCCGACGCGAGCCGAGACCCGCGAAGCGCGACGATCTTCGCGCCCCCGCGGGGGGCCTATGGGCCGGGCGACAGGGGGGGATAGCAAAGGGGGGGTTCGAGAATCAGCTCACGCAGCTGATTATCCCAGCGCCTCCCGGCGCTGGAGGCGGCCATGTATCGAGGAATGGGCCCCTCGGTGGGGCCGGCACCAGCTGCAGGCAGCAAACTTCGCACCCCCCCTGTCCCTATCCCCCCCTTTCGTCCGGCCCGAGCATGCCGCCCCTTACATGTCTGCAAGGCTCAACGTGATGGCGGCTCGAAAGCGGCGGGCCGCGTGGCACTCCCCCCAGCAGAAAAGTCCGAACCATCCTCGGAAGTCGGTGTGAAACAGCAGAAGCCGGTTCGAAGCCATAGAAAAGTGAGCGCTCGGTGGTGCCGGACTTCCTCGAAAAGCAAGCTCGAACGAGGCTCGAGCTCGGTTCGAAGACATTATAGACGTGAGCGTTCCGTGCGGGACTTCCTTGAAAAGTATGTTCGAACCAATCTTTGACTCGGCTCGAACAATTGGGAACTTAGCGTGTCGCGCCGCGGTGGCAAATGTCGGGCCAACCTTTTGATCACGCCCGCGGGCAATGTCAGACCGTCCTCCTGACAATGGCAGGTCGTGCTTTCAGTAGCCATCTTGGTTCAAGTGGCCGAACTGCGCTTGAGCAGCCATGCCGACTGATGATGCGCTGGGGAACCTTCGGCGGGATCGTGGGAAAACGGCGCGAAACTTTGCAAAGAAGAAGTGCGGCGCGGCTTCCACAAATGGCCGAGCGCGCCCAAGCCCTGGCCGACGAACTGCACGACCGGCTCAAAAAAACATCCACTGCGAGTGGAGCTGCACCAGTGGGGGGCGGACAACCTCGGGCCTGGACCCCAAACTCGATGGTTATGAGGCTACACTGGATGGCGGTTCGAAAAACGGCAGGCCGCGTGGAGCTTCCTCCCGAAAGAAGCCGAGCCACACGCGGAAGTCGTTTCGAAACAAACCATAGAAGCCAGTTCGGAGCAGTAGAAAAGTGAGCTTTACTCGACAAGCAGGTTCGAGCAAGGTTCGAACTCGAACTGACGTTAGAAAAATCAGCGTCCCGTGCGGGCCTTCCACGAGAACAATTTCGAACCAGGTCCAAACTCGGCTCGTAAAAATACATAAAAATACAACAGTCAGCGTCTCGCGCCGCGGTGGCAAAATTGAGCCAAACTTCAAGATTTGGGCGTTCTCGCCTTTTCTGCTTTCCGCCGCTCAAATGGCGGCTCAAGAGGCCTCCAAGACCATTCCACGAGGGCCCAGGAAGCCTCCAAGAGGGCCCCAAGACGGCCTAAGAGCGCCCCAAGTCGGCCCGAGAGGCGCCCAAGACGGCTCATATTGGCACCAAGACGGCCCCAAAAGGGGCCCAAGAGAGGGAACACAAACTGAAAATCCGAGCCTTCCGCCCCAAGAGGCCCCAAGAGGCGCCTAAGAGGCCCCAAGAGGCTGCCAGGAGGCCCCCAAGAGGCGCCAAAAGGCCCCCAAGAGACCCAAATGAGGCCCCAAGAGGTCCCCAAACGGCCCCCAAGAGGCTTCATACCCGTACCAAGGAGGCCCCCGAGAGGCCTCCTACGAGATCCCGACGAACAACCAATAAGCTCCATGCACACAACCCAAGCACGGTGGCGGGATGGGCCGAAAGCCATTCGATACTGTTCTACTTTTCTTTTCATCCTCCTCCTGCTCCTTCCTCCCTCCTCTTCCCTCTTACCTGTTCGGAGATCAACATAAGAATAAAGGAGAGAGGATGCACCAGCCGGCAGAATGCACCAGAGAGAATCCAGCGAGGGGCGGGAGGACGGATGCAACCCGAGGGTTCTAACGGTGGCCGAGTATTAAATCTCATCACAGAGCGTATCTCTTGGGGCCCTGGTGGTCAGCATCTGTCATCTTCGGATCTGTCGTGAATCCGGCTCGATCCCCAGATCCCAATGCAAAGAATGGTGCGCTTCCAGAGGATGGTGCCTTTCACGACAACGGGGCCAGGTTCGGACCCGTGCGTGCATCAGAAGAACGACCAACCAACCAAACCTGTTTGCTCACGGGGTGGATATGAGCATCACGGATTCGGATTATCCCGATCCGGATCCAAATCCAGATCCAGATCCAGGTCCTGGTCCGTGCGCACATCAGACGGAGAAGCTGAGACTGGTACACTGAGGGGCGGGGACTGGGATCACGGATTCGGATTATCCCCATCCAGATCTGGACAGAGGTCCAGACCCGTGCGTACACCAGAGGAACAAACGTAGACCTGAACGCTCAGGGGCGGGGGTGGGGACCACAAATTCAGATCATCCCAATCCCGATCCGGATCCAAGTCCAGATCCGTGCGCACATCCGAGGAAGAAGCTCAGGCCTACGTGCCCAGGGGCGGGGTTGGGATCTCGAGCTCGGATTATCCCAATTTGGATATGGATCTGGAGCCGGGTCCGTAGACGTGCGAACATCACAAGAATAACCTTAGACCTGTGCACTCAGGGGCTGGGATTAGGATCACGTTTTAGACTATCCCAATCTGGATCTGGCTCCGCATCCCGGTCCGGATCCGTGCGCACAATGAGTTGAGACCTGTACACTCAGGCGCGGACTGGGATCACGGATTTGCAAATCCCAATCCGGATCCGATTCTGGATCGGGAGCCAGGTGCAAACCCGTGCGTGCATCAGAATAAAGCTGAGACATGTGCACTCAGGGGCGGGGATTGGGATAACAGATTCGGATCTGGATCCAGATCCAGGCCCAGACCCGTGCGTACATCAGACTATAAGCTGAGGCCTGTGCACTCAGGGGTAGGGATTGGGGCCACGGATTTGGTCCAGACCCATGCGCACATCAAAGAAAATGCTGAAACCTGTGCACTCAGGGACGGCGATTGGGCCGCAGCCGTCCTTCAGAGATAATTATAGGGTGAACTTTTCAGGAATCCTCAGGAACTTTCTGT